AATTTGATGATGCCTGTAAACTGGCGTCCCTCATGTACTGTACTATGAGAATAAATTTATTTATTTATTTATTTATAAAATAACTTACAGGAACTACAGTAAGGCAGACTGGACTCTAGTAAAATCAATGCTAAGATCCTCAGAATGGAGTGAGTACTTCTATACTGATAGCCTCTCGAAAGCTTTAGACATCTTTTACTATAACTCCAACACATGCTTAGATGCTGTCATCCCATTTCAAACACTAAAGTTGTCCCCACATAGAGAGTCATTCATAAAGCCAAAGGATCGTAGGAAACTGAAAAGACTGTCAACAAGTTACTTCAGGCGACACGACTTTAGTACACTAGGGTCAATACTTAGTACTCTTAGCTCCATCTCGCAAGCTCATAACTTGCGTATGAGAAATGAAGAATGCACGGCACTAGCCAGCACCACCAGAGTAGGTGCTCTCACAGCAATCCTAAAGAAACGAATGAATCGCCAAAGCCATAAAATTTCTCTCCTTATAAACAAGGGCAAACTATACAGCAACCATGCAGACATGTGTGAACTGTTTAATGAGACGTTTGCAGCTAACTACCTTAAGCCTACAGATTCACTTCTCGGTTTACAATCTACAATAGAACTCCCTTCATCTTCAACGCTGAAACAAATCACTACAGTTCATTTCACTTACTCTAATATTAACCAATGCGTTAATACTCTTAAAAACTCTAGTAGTGCCGGTTTTGACGGTATACCATCGTATCTTTATAAACACGGTGGTTCTGACATTTCCGTTTTATTACTTAAGATTTTTACAATGTCCCTAGAAAGCCAAACCTATCCAGATAAATGGAAAACGACATTTATAGTACCTAAACACAAATCCGGATCAAAAACTGAAGTCAACAACTATAGGCCAATCAATATTACACCCATAGTATCTAGAATCATTGAAAGAATAGTTAAAGATGATATCCTCAAACATATGCTCAGCTGCAATATTCTAAGTCCCAACCAACATGGATTCCTAAAATCCAGATCATGCATGACATGTCACGTTGACTTCTTTAACTACATAACTAGCAGCCGCGACAAACAACAACTAGTACTTGTCATCTACTTCGACATATCCAAAGCCTTTGACCGCGTTGACCATTTTCTTCTAATAAATAAGCTGAACTCCTTAGGAATAAGTAACCCATTATTAGGATGGATTGAATCATTCCTTAACAATAGGTCCCAAGTAGTTAGACTGGGTTCTGTAAACTCTAAACCTAGTCCAGTCACTTCTGGAGTAGTTCAAGGAAGCGTCTTAGGCCCCCTCCTATTCACTCTATATGTCAACGACATATGCAGCTGTTTCTCACTAGGCAAACCATTCATCTTTGCAGATGATCTTAAAGTAGCTTACACATTCCACTGTGATGACTTAGGGTACTTTCAGAAAGCTGTTCAGGAAGAACTAGATCGAGTAACTGCATGGTCCGCCACATGAAACCTAAAATTCAACCTTAAAAAATGTGGTTGGATATGCTTCGGTGCACCCTCAATAAATATTAAACTGGTACTTGAATCCATCGACTTGCCTAAACTCCAAAGTGTTGTTGACCTAGGACTCAGGTACTCTAGTGACTTGACATTTTCCGAGCAAGTGGCGACACAGACGCGTAAATCGAGGATGCTTCTAGGATGCATACTCAGGAATTTCCACAACTACGAAGCGAAACTATTATTATATAAAACTTGTGTCAGACCACTACTTGAATATTGTCCATTTATTCTCAGCAGCACTCGCGTAAGTGACAAACTTAAAATAGAAAGTGTCCAACGATACTTCACGTCTAAACTACTAGGATTTGACTGCGAAAAGGACTGCACATCAAGGTGTATAACTCTAGGTATCGACCCACTCTGGATGAGACGACTGAGCATTAACCTAACATTCTTCTTTAAAATATTGCATAAAATATCATTCTCAGACAGCAATGAGATACACTTCTCACCGGAAGGCTCTTACAACCTTCGTAACCAAACGTGCACAGTATCTAGGAAAAACTGTAAAACAGCACTCCGTGCAAACTTCTTCATAGTCATGTACTCTAAGATCTGGAACAGTTTACCCCAAGAAATAAGGACCTGTCACTCTATCATAACCTTCAAACGCTTGCTATATAAACTGCTTCATCCCAATGACTATGCCAATCACACCGCACCACTTATTTCCAAAACGAATGAGCTATTAGCACACTATAACGCCTAGACTCATTACTAAATATTATGACACTAAATAAACTCTAAGACTTCGCAAAAATACATGAAAAAACAACAAGATTATGGGTAGTGTTTACTATACAATGATATACATTTATAAACATTTATATGTACATAAAATAATAAAGTTCTTTTCATATTTACATACTTTATCTCCCTGCTGAGCGTAAACTTCTATATACCTCCTGGTTGAGGTCGAACAACCCATCATCCAAACTGAAATGACCATTTATGTAAATTCAAACTCAAATTCCATGAACGATCCGGTGCAACCACTTGAAAACGCTGGCCAACATTCTGTACAAGGAGTATTCTTGATCTGATATAAAGAAACAACTGGTTTTCAAGCAGTTTTCAATGCACTACTCAAGTTACATGTACAGTCTGCCATGCTGACGCAAATGGCGCAAATGGATAGTTCTAGAATCGACCCCATTTGATGCAGTAAAACAATCTAACATGAACTTATCTAATTTTCGTATCAAAGATCAAATTTCTTTCCTATTATAAAACTACGATAAGACTGCTGACAAAAATGGAATAAATACATTACTGACTCAAAATAATACATCAATAAACTTTTTCTCAAAGATGCTGCTCACAACAAAGTTATATAAGAGAATTGACTTCAAGCTCTATTTTTCCCAGATATTTGTATTACATTCATCTGAAGTCTGGGTTTTTTTGTTAATGCGAAGACAATATTTCTATATCTCTTTATGTGTTACACAGACAGACTATTTTGAAGACTGTTCCGACTGACTGTAATGTTAGAAAGAACAAACAAACTGTAATTTATATAATAACTTATCCATGCCTGTACAATTGGTATGTTCCTGCATAAACAGGAATAAATATATATATATATATACAGAACTGAACCAATTACAGTGTCAGATGCAGGCTAAAATACTTATTGGCGCTGTTGATTCCTGGTACATAAGTAAGGTGCCATCTATGATTCCCTTTTTTTAATCTGAACGAAAGAATTCTAAGCGGATGGGTGAATTTCGATGCATTGGTTGTCCACTTCAAGAATGTCTGTCAGCGACTGAATCAAGGAGGCACATTTGGAAACAAACCGTCGTTAATAACTTACCAAGCCATTAAAAGGGCAAAGACTTTTCACCGACTTTGACTCCTGAAGTTCAAAGTTGTCTTTACTTTACAGGCATCGGGGGATACTATTGCAGTCAAAGGTGTTGTAGAGAGAGTTTAGTGATCCCACTTCTATTTGACATCTCTTGATAATGATGGTAGCACCATGTCAGCACAACCTGTCGAATGCTGAGCCTATGCGGCGAAGGTGAGTTTCCTTATTTGGACTTGTGATAAGATGGCCGCCCGAGTTTTCGTATACGAGTCAAGACTATAAATACTTCGTCAGTGAAGCTTTGGAATGTTCGTGCTGCATTCCGGAGAATGAATGGTATGCAAAGAAGTTCGACACAGCCTAAAAGGTGCAATGGTAGCCTTTTTAGGAATGCCACTGGAACCCAACTGTTCACTTTGACCAACTCCATTTTGGAAAAATGGTCCACCAGGTTATGCTATCGTTAAGTCATGTGTATGCAGCAATGGATAGTAGTCTGGGACCGTTTTAGTTTTCAGTCTCTGGTAATCACCGGTGAGTCGCAAGTCTTTGCTCTTTTTGGTACCATATGAAGTGGGGATGTTGTAGGCTACTCGAGTAGTACCGAGAGTAGGCATATGGTTACCGCCACGGCGTGCTGGTGGGACAATTTGCCAGCCTTTGAATCCTTGCCAGGAGTTTAGGGCCTTCCAAAAATTTTAGCTTCCTGACCATTAAGCTACCAAATCAATGCGGGTTCTTACGTGAACGTGGTTTGGATTCCGAACGACCACGTGAATTCCTACGTTGGAGTGGTTTTTGTCAACGAATAGGGGAATGCTAGGCCTGCTTGACCCAAGTAGTCGTTTGGCAGAGTTGCATAACTGTGTCGTTTAAGTGTCACTACTTGGAGGTCGTTAACTGATCAGGCACATTTCAGTGACTGGATGACGTGAAGTTTCCAGAATTGTCAGCTGAAGCATCAGTTTCTTCGGTGATGAAACCTCATGTGTCACAAGCACAGTTGGCACTGGCCTGGGCAACTTAAATGGAAACAACGTTCTAAAGAGTCCCTCATCGAACTGACTTTTCACAATCAGATTCGTAATCTGAGGATGGTTGTTTAACTAACTAGGGATCGTGAAAAGCGAACAAACGTAACACGGCAGCGTGCCAAATGGCTTGAATGCTTGACCACAATCCTTCAGCTAAACAAGTCGACTTAAAAAGTGAAGTTCAGAATCCAGTGTTTAGTTACGAGTTATGTGGTTGTTTACCACCACAGATTTACTATGTCGGCTTACTATCTGACTGTCTTGTATATGTTTTTACTTTATCCGAAAGACTAAGCCACGTAAAAGTGTCAGAAGAAGGCGTCATTTCATAAATACATAGACATGCACCTAAGCTCTCATGTGAATAAGCAGAATGAAGCCGACACAGTAAATATTTCATGTTGAGAATTAGCTCTACTGCCGCGGGGCACTTGTCCTCTCACTAGCTCATTAACATCCGGAAGCCATTCCTATTAGAAGTGGTGGTCGCACTCTCGGTGGACTCATTCAAGAAGAGTTGGGTAAGCAAAGATACTAACTACAAGAAATTCAGAATAGACTCAATACTCTGTATACTTAGCCCAAAAGCCAATGACCGAAATCTGAAATAAGTACTCTAGCTCACTACTAAACACCAGTTTTTTGAATAAACCCTAGTGTTTATTTACTTCAAGGCTTATTGTGGCGGGATTTTCAACACCAGAAATTTATCAAGTCAAAGGGCATGGATCGCGCGCCCGCAGCATATGAGACTACTTATGAGACGAGATATGAAACTACCGATGTATCCTCTATAATCAATATTGGTTTTGTTCGCAGTTTAAGTGGAATTTTGAAGCTTTCTGAAGTAAGTGTATATATTAACTCAGTGGGTATATAAATTACTTTTGGACAATCGTGACTGCATATGATATATGAATGATGTGAAAAGAACTTGTTTCTATGAAACTAAAATTTTGTTGCTGTCTATGCTATGTACGCCTGTGGTTGCTTTAATGCTACAGAAACCGTTGTGGTAATCGCTACCCACTATCTGTCATAGGGATTACTTCTATTGAGAAATATCTTTGTTAATGGTAGTAGTTAATTGTTCAAACCTGATTCCTAAACCCAAAGTGTTAACGAAGCTCTATCCGAATAAAATTCCATTGGATGGCTTACAAAATTCTTGCAGCTATTATCTGCTGCAATTATCAATGTTGCAAGTCCGTAGACATGAGATTATTTCCCAAGATATTACTTACTGTCTATCTGGTATGTTTCTTGAAGTGTCAGTCACATTTGAATGACTCAGTGAATTTTAGAAACTGCACTATTTCAAGTTGCCAAACCTCATAAGTTACAACAACACAAAGAAGCTATAACGAACGGATGTGAATGGAAAAGGAATAATTACATGAAGACTAATGGATCTGAGCAATCACACAGATAGTGAATGCTTCTGTATCATTATGCGCGATTTCAATTCGTATGAATAACAGTGTCTAGCCATTGAGTATCGTTGTCTTGGGGATCTCCACGTTCTCCACTTAACATCTAGAGTTAAGCGGAAAAAAATCAAGCAATCAGTTACCACGGAAATCTAAGTGCTGATCTCTTAGTGTATCAGCAGAAGTCATTTTGCATTACTTAAAATAAATAGGAGTTTAAACAGCTGTAGTTTGATACATAAACAGTAGACCATAGCTGTGTAAACAGAAATAAGCGTACTTTCCAGTTGATTATACTTTTTCTGTATTCATTCATATCATGAATTACTACTTTATGTACTCAGAATAAAATCACGCAGTAGACTAGGGTCTAGCAGTAATCTATGTATCAGGTAAAATGTTTGAATTCACAACACTGAAAAACTCAGATTTTTTCCGCTGATAAAACAGAAAACCGGAAATTCAAACAGGAATATCACTGATATCACTACTACTTCACAATTTTATACATTTTCTTTCTGCGGGATTGTTAAAGTAGTTGCATTCACATGTAGTTGGCAGTTAGACACGCCTGTTATACTACTCGGAAACTCAAACTTTGGTGGGTTCAGCAAGGTTTGAACCACTGAACTAGTAGTTGGTAGTCGAGCTCATTGTTATTGGCAACATTTAATCTTTAAATATTGTATATATATATAACTTTTGATTCGCTTGTCAAAAAAGAATAGAGAATCTTATCCAGTGTACTGATGATGGGTTGCGGTGTTATTCTTAGCCACCAGTTACTTAAATTACTTGACATGTTTCGAACATGTCTACATGTTAGCCAGCCATCATAGTACAACTAGGACGTCTTGGTCAAACAGCTGGCTCACTCCTTAGTTTGGTAAAAACCAATGACTAGAAACTATCAGTGATATGGCTCAAATTCCTTGTCAATAGCTTGCGCAGATGCATTCATTCCTTGTGACTTTTAATACCCAGTGAAACTGTATTTTTCTTCGATACTACCATTCTTTTTGCCTCATATCTCTATTTTGCGTTTCTTTTCACTTTCTCCTCTTGTTTTGTATGCTACGTGAAGGGAGTGTGACACCTCGAACTAGTGCACATCGGTGCAAAGTTCTATGTTGAAATCAGACAGTCAGAATTTAGATGTCGTATATTCGTTAAGAATGCATTAAAAAACATTGCGAACATGATATAACATTGGGATAATTTACTCTTATACGTTGTGAGAATGTCTCCCAGTTATTTCAAGGATAATCCACAGATAAATCATACTATGCATGATACATCTATTCATACAGGTGACTGTACATCCATTGATATTCCTGACTGTTCTTTAAGCTGCCACTAACTCCGACAATAATCCTAAACTTAAAACGAAAAAAATACCAAGGGAATTAATAGAATACTTTGCCTACCCTCACCAACGGATTTTCTCTTATAGCATAAATTGCATCTATAGCAAAAACTTTATCTCCCTCAAGTTTGCATTGTATTATTGTCATGCTCTCTTCCAAAACACATGAAGCCGAATATGGTTTTATTTGGAATGACTTTCCATAGTCTTCCCTAGGTCTGATTGGTTCTTGTGAAGGCCAACTGTTGACACGCCTTGACACATTAGCTATGATACTTGAACTTTACCATGAGGGCTTTAAAACATTTATGACCCAGTGGATTGAAAGATAAATGCCTGCTGTAGAGTTTCCGACGTAGAACTTTGCACAGAAGTAGCCAGACTTCATGTGGTTTACGAACATGGGGAAACGAATTCAAGGAAACTATCATTAACAGGAGTGTACAAGGTGAAGAATGATTTCTTGGAGAATAACAACGATTTAATGCACCTGAGAGTATGCGTCCCACTAAAAACGTTTTTGGGTCATGTTACCAACAGTCTTCAGTCGTTGGTTCTTAGCATCTCAAGGACTCCAGTCAGACAGTCTACACTCCTCTCCTTCCCGGATGTGACTGGCTCAAACAGTCAACAGTCAAAGACTTCATGGATTCGTAGAATGTTTGGATATGACCACCAGTAAATCTTTCCCAGTTCAATCCTATGTCAGCTAACATTACTCGATGAAGAAGGCAATGGCTTAGGTTTGCTTCCCAACTTCATTGATTTCAATGTCTGTTCTAGTAAACCTCATGGATGTGACATTGTTACCTTTGCTAATATTAGTTTTGAGAGTTGAACCCTTAATTGAGTGAATCATAGCTACATGTAGCATATAATGACAGAGTTCATTTCGGACGTTTTCATAAAGTTAAAATATATGTACATCGTGACTCTTTAACATTCTAAGTAATATCAAGTACAATCAAATCTATCCTAGAGCACTGGCAGATTTAGTTAGAACTCAGGTACCCAGGCTATTAGCTACACTTTCTATTTTGGGTCTGATGATACTACCCTGGTTGTTCAGGTTTGAGTAATTGGAGAGGGGTTTTAACACGAAACTCCCATTGGTGGTTGATAGTGGAGTCCTTAAGGACTGATGAACTGCAATTGTTCCAAGAATTTCTCCATAATCAGTAAGTCATTTTTTTAATAATAATAGTAGTAATAATAATAGTAAATATTATTATCTATGTGACACTGGCCTAGCGGATAACTCTGTGCGTCGGTCGGTGGCTCAATGGTACAGTGCTCGCCAGCCATATGACGCATTCCTAAATATCGCCTTCCTCGACGGTCAGGTTGGAAAAGAGCCAGTTAGTGGTGGTCAAACAAAAACATTGAATCAATCAATGAAGTCCAAAACAGTTAGTTTAAGCCAGTCAGTAGGGAAGTGTAGACAACCTGACTGAGTCGTTGGGGTCCTCGGGATAGTACGAATCAATGAAGGCCGGAGACAGTTAGTGATATGGCTCAAAATCTTCGTTCTCAATGAATAACGCAGATGCATTCACTCACTCTTTGTTCTTCCATGTGATTACTACTCTTTTTTCCTCACTCACACTTGTGTTTATCACCTCTCTCTTTTGAATCTTTCTTTACTGTTTTCCTTTGCTTTATGTGGTACATGAAGGGAGAGTGGGAGCTCAAACTGGGGCACACGTATGGAAAGTTTTAAGTTGAAACCAGTCAGTCAGTCAGTCTTCCTACACAACAAAAGCAACTTATATTTATTATTGTCAGTGTTTTGAAGTCCTACACGTGCCCGGCAGGAGGCCGGCAAAACAACCAAATGTGGAGATGATGAAATGATGATGATGATGAAATCTACAACAGTCAGTCTAGGCCACGTAGGAAGGTGTAGACTTCCTAACTGGTTGGGGTCCTCGGGATGGTAAAAACCAATGGTTGGAAACAATTGGTGACATGGCTTAAAATCGTTCTCAGTGGCGCAGATGTATCCACTCCTTGTGACTTATGATTTCCAATGAAACTGTTTTGTTCTTCGTTATTACTATACCTTTGTCTCCCACCTCTGTTTACTGTCTATGTTATGCATTTCTACTTTCTCTTGCTTTGTGTGCTACATGGAGGGAGTGTGGCGACTTGAACTGCCGCACATATGTGCAAAGTTCTATGTCGAAAACCGACCGACCGGAGATATGAGAGTTAGAGGGTGGTCAGTTCAGAATCTTTTTACGAGTTGATCACGGACTGATATCAGTTAGAGAACCATTGAAAACCAGGGAGTACTGGACAGCTGCTGTTTCATCCTAGTTCGGGAATCATTGGCAGTACTCACCCACTACCAAGGTTCGAACCCAGGTCCTTCCGGTTACAAGGCAAGCTCGTATACCATTCAGCCACTGGGACCCGATTCAATGGCTCATGAATTCTAACTTCTACCAATTCATGATTTTAGCGCGACCCCAACCATTGTCGTTGGTGGGACATCCATCCACACACGTGACATCTAATTGGACCTCACTGGTCACGACTTCTCACTAGAACTCTAGGAAACTCCATCCTGTAGCAAGTCACTAGCGAGCATCAGATTAATTTTCTATAGTTTGGTTTGTAAGGGTTAGTTATGTTTTTACGAGTTCATCACGGATTGATATCAGTTAGAGAACCATTGAAAATCAGGGAGTACTGGACAGCTGCTGTTTCATCCTAGTTCGGGAATCATCTGCAGTACGCACCCACTGGGATTCAGAATCTGACATAAATCCATAAAGTGTTTGACTGCTGGTTTGAGCCAACCTCTGTCTGTCTGTTTTCGACATAGAACTTTGCACTGATGTGCGGCACTTCAAGTCGCCACACTCCCTCCTTGTAGCACACAAAGAAAGAGAAGAAAGTAGGAGAAATGCAAAATAGAGACAGTAAACAGAGGTGTGAGACAAAGGAGTAGTAATAACGAAGAACGAACAGTTTCATCGGAAATCATAAGTCACAAGGAGTGGATGCATCTGCGCCACTGAGAACGATTTTGAGCCATGTCACCAATTGTTTCCAACCATTGGTTTTTACCGTCCCGAGGACCCCAACCAGGAAGTCTACATCTCCCTACGTGACTTAGACTAACTGTTGTGGATTTCATTGACTGGTGCCAAGTTTGAGCCAACCACGTATAAAGGTGTAGATTTAGTCACTGAGGTCCCCAAGACCCTAAGAACCAGTCTCTAGAGATTGTTAGCTACATGGCTCACAATCGTTCACAAAGTTACAGATGTATTTCCTCTTAATGAATTCCGAGATTTTCGTTCATTATAGTTCCTTGGTTTGTTGTTTCTCTACGTTTTTTTTTTACTGTATTATTGGCTGTGGCAGCTTGAATCGCCACTGTTTTGTGCAAAGGTCTTCGCTGAAAACTCAGTCGGAAGGTTCGACTCACACTGGCTTACATTCATACACTCAAATTTCAGTTAGTAGGGTCTAGCATACCAATGGAGACAATAGGTGACATGGCTCAAAATCGTTGTCAATGGCTTACGCAGATGTATTCAGTCTCTGTAATCTTTCATATTCCTTTCTACCATTACTCATTGTCTTTCACTCCTATACTTGTCAAAACTCTATTGATTCTCTTCACTCATTTTCTTGTTTACCACCTTTGTGTGCTATTTGGAACGTGGCAACTCGAACTGCTGCACTTCGGTGTCAAGTTCTATGGTGAATCCAGCCAGCATGCCAATCCCGTGCCACCTATTCCAGCTTGATGGCAACTGGGTAATATCTTCAACTGCTACATAAGAATTAAGGCTCATAACATGGTGTAACGGTATAAGACAAAAGACTCGATAACGGAATGTTTATTTGGAGTTTGATATCTATCCCTATACAGGGAAATTATGTACGCCTAACATTAAACTCGCCATTTACACAGATCTTCCGTGTTGTTGGACTATTTCTGCCTTTCTTATTGCTTGTATTTCTTTACCTTCTTTTCGTGTCTTCCATGTTTTGCCGCAATTCACTGGTTGGTTCATTTCCTCTCCTCTCTTTGACATTAAATCTTATCATCTCTGCCCTATTTGATGATATTTTTGTGTACCGATGAATGATTCTTTGTATACTACTGATAAATCTTGTCAGTAGTACACACCACAATGGTACATGGGAAACTTGTTTTTCCTAAATGAAATCAAACAGTGTCATTCATAAAAGTAATAATGTTGTGCATACATATCCTTTGCTTCCTTTTTGCTTCTTTTATCCTACCGGTTGTCCCCAACCATCGAATATCAGAAATTCACAGTGCACTGTGATGGTGAGCCACCTAGTGGCATGGTGGCCCCATTACAAGCTTGATTGGTAAGAGAATTCAGTCTGCACTAAAAACAAAGGCCTAGACACACGTTACACACTAGTTACTAGCTAGTGTCCAATCAAAGTATCCAATACAGTGACTCCTACAGGAGATGGTCAACCACGAGCCCGAATAGCTCAGTGGTAGTAACGTCTCTTACTGACTGCAGTACCAACTGGGTGACTCGGGTTTCGAATCTCAGAAGAAGGGAAATGAGTTCCTTCAGCGTAGTTGCAGATACGCCTTCCTGACTGGTGGTGAGTGCCAACTAACTAGCACGAAATGTAGGTCAAGCGAGGCGGTTTCCTGACTGATTGCCGGACTGGTTTCAACATAGAACTTTACACAGATGTGCACCAGTTCAAGTTATCTATCACACTCCCTTCATGTACCACACAAGGCAAAAGAGAAGAGAGTAAAAAGGCATTCAAAGGAGAGAGAGAAAGAGATAATGAACAGAAATGCGAAAAGAAAATGTAGTAATATGGAAGAACAAAAGAATTTTATTGGATACTATAAGTCACAGAGTGAATGTATCTGCACCAGCCTTTAAGAACGATGATTTTGAGTCATATCACCAATTGTCTCGACGATTCCATCCAGGAAATCTACACCTCCTTACGTGGCTGACCAGCTGGCTTCAACTAACTGTTGTGGATTTCATTGACCGATGCTATGTTTTCCTTTGACCACCACTGGCTCTTTTCCAACCTGACCCTATGTGTCAGCTAACATTGCCGATTGTCGAGGAAGGCGATGGCTACGCATGCGTAACATATGTCCTAACCATCTCAGTCGATGTAACTTCACAGCTTCGTCTATTGACTTTACCTAGCACTCGACCGAAGCCTAACCTCAATATTGCTCAACCTACTATACCCCACGCCACCTAACACGGGAGATAGAACGCAGACAACTAGCCATGCTTTCCACGTCTTCCACTTTCAATGGAGGCTAAGTTTCACAGCCAGTCATAAAAGAGGACAGAGTGAAATTCTGAGCAATACACACGTCCTTTGGTCGATATCACGTCTACTAAGCCAGAGGTGTTGTAAGTTGCCATGAGCTAAACGAGCCTTCTGTATCAGTGATGAGATTTCGTCAGCGTTCAACCCGTTAGCTGTGTTTGATGCAACTCCCCAAACAAGTGAAATGGTCGACATGCTCTACCACTTCAGTAGCTCCTTATCTTTAGAACAAGACATATAAGCGAACAATATTGTTGTTTTCAATTAGATCTTCTTCAGGCTTTACTCTAATTCACACAGATTTATATATAAAAATTTTAACCACTGACGGTGATTTCGTGGATCAAATTATAATAATAATAATAATAATAATAATAATAATAATAATAATAATGTGGTAAATGTTTTGAACGTCATTAATAACGATGATTATATTGATAACAAAATATAGATAACCAGGTTTATGCAGGTAGCGATAAGATTAATGAAGGTAGTCATTAATGTATGTATATGTAGACAATTCAATAAATAAATAAATTAGGTCAAATCTTGAAAGTTACGTAATACTAAAGGTAGGTGAAGTGGACAGATAATCAGACTTTAAATAAATAACATAAAAATATGAAGGAAATAGAAAATAAGAAAGGTGGCAGGGTTTTGATTAGAATTCACCTAGGCCAAGGGTGGGAGAGATAAAGGTAGAACAAACTTCTTTTGTTGTATGCAAAGACACTAGGATTGTTCTCTCGAATTAATTCCCATAGCTTTAGCTATGCGTAAAAAGCGGGTTGGAATTCCGTTCGAAAATCTTGATGGAATGCGATAGATAACTTTGAAGGCACTACTTCTGTGTACTCGCGTCGGTGGCATAGCGGTTAGGATGCTCGCCGACCATGCACATGGTCCGGGATTCGATTCCCGGCCACTAGACGCACTCCTTTACCTCTCTGAGCCAGAAATAATGCTGGTGAAAAGGAAAGGTTGGGCATGAGGCTAGCAACCCCATCCTGTAAAATAAACACTGCTACAGAAAGTTCAAGCCACTAGCTTAAAGCCCTATGTTCTACTGGTGGTAACCACTACCAATCAAATAAGTCGAAATAGAACTTCTTGTAGATTTTATTTGACCTTTAAATCCCTATCTTTAAGCTAGAAGTCGAGATGTAGAAGGCGGTTTCCTGTGACCGATTGCCTCATCCAACCATCTCATATTACCACCAGTGCTCACACAATAAGCTTGGCTCATAGCCCCCCTGGCACAAGAGAAAGTTGTTCAAAAATAACCAAGTTTAAGAAGTTTCTTTCATAAAAGAGTAATAATGTACACATTCATATCCGTGAAGGAGGATTGAGCAAACTGCTGAGCAATACACACGTCCTTTGGTCGACAGCCAGCCGAATGATATCACGTCTTCTAAACCAGAAATGGCATAAGTTGGCGAATACCGAACGAGCCGTGGTGAGAATTCGTCAGCAATCAACCCATTGGCGCTGGTTGATGCAACTCCCCAAATATAAGTGAAATGGTCGAAATGCTTTACCACTTCAGTTGCTCCCTATCTTTAAGCTAGAGGTCAATGTAGAAGCCGGTTTCCTGTGACCGATTGCCTCATCCAACCATCTCATATTACCATCAATGCTCACACATACAATAAGCTTGACTCATACCCACCCCCCGCGCTCCTGGCACAAGAGAAACTTGTTCAAAAAAATAATAACCAAATTCAAGAAGTTTCATTCATTCATCTTTTGTTTTGTTTTATTTTATATTATTTCTTTTCTCACAGATATTACTAAGTTGCATTGTACTGATCTGTGTTGCTGCAACCTCCTTTTGGTCTCTTCACCCGTCTGGTGGATGGGTGAATTTTGTTGCCTCTGTCACTTTAATCTGCTCAGCTGTCTTCTATATCTTCTATCTATTCAATCTAATCAGAAAATTACCTGGCCCATGGATTATCATTGTAAGTCTATTTTTTTATTGATTTTTAAAAAAAAAATTATTTTCATCATTAGACGTTTTTGCTCGATGAGCATCTCTACTTTTGATGTAGATGTGTCGTCATGAACGGATACATACCGTCGGTTAGGACGGTTGATCATTGAAAGCGCTGAGGAGCAGCAGCCATTGGACAGTTAGTTTATCCATCTTAGTTGTTAGGATTGTTTGATAGTGTACATGCGCACCCACCTTTGATGCGTACCATTACCACGAGGTTTAGAGAACCCCAGGGATCTTCAGGTTTTTAAGGAGAGTTCATTTCTCATTTAAGCGTTGGATTTAGAACTCTGTGACCCGCGTGTAATCTAACGCTTCATCCATTACGACTTCTTATTTTCTTCTTCCTGTGTGTGGGTAGCCTCTTAGTTTTTGCTGACTCATTAAGCTTAAGTTCTGGTTTCTAATATTTTTTTTGGATTTAATATATATGAGGATTGTTAAAGCTTTTACGGTTTGCTTGAAGAAGTGTTTAATTGGTACACCTGTGACAAGTCCGCGTATTCTGTAGGTGAAGTTAGTTTGTGAATGTTCGCTTGGTGTTCAGTGTCGACCAAGTGTGCAAGGGGGAGATTTTTTTCTCCCCGATAAAACTATCAGGGTGAGTGTTCGATGATACATTGGAATAGCAAACTCTGAGTACAGCGTTGTCTCCTTCGACGGAGAATCCAAGCATGTAAATTAGCTGTTAAAAGATACGACATGTTGTATTCTTTTATATCGATGCATATTATTCCCTTGGGTTCTGAGTGGAACATATGGCTTCAACAACCAATCTCCACTTTGTTCTGTTTGGTGCTGTCCTCTTCAGCTGGCTAGTCACGATTGACCATAATCTCTTATCTCCTCCTCCCCTACACGCGATCTACTTACTACTTACTTTACTTCGGCTATCTCCTACGGGAGGATGAGCCGGCTTCATGAACATCTCGAATCATCGCTGCCCAGGCGCGGTGATCTGATGCAAGGTTTTGCGACAGGGTTATCCAATTCTTGTTCCACAGACGGAGTCCGTAGACGGTTTGTAGCCCCAGGCACTCCATATCAGCCTTGACTGTACCAAGCCATGTTTTCAGCTGTCCACCCCTGCGATCGTTTGTAAGAGAGTTCATGAATTTGGTACGAGTGATGTCCCCAGAATCGCTCGGCCTTTTGTTTGAGAGTGCAGCTCTAGCCTTTACACAACCAAGTGTGACCTACAAGGCAGTAGGAGTGGAGTAGGGAGTCCACTATCCATTGGCAGCCAGTGACCGGAGTTCGGTTCATACGCCTTTTTGAATGGGGCCAGACATCCAGGACATCCAACAAGCCCTTTGTCCATACGTCTCCCGGTGAGCTCCAGTGAGCTTCATACGCCAGTCGTTGGAGGTTTGGAATCAGGGTTTAGCCATCTCCCCTAGACTGTCATCCAATGGACAGTCAACCCGGTGAAGAGCGCCGGGCATCCGCTTTCGCCCTCTCACTTTGGTGAAAAACACCTCCGCCACGTGAAGGCAGTGAGTAGGACTTCCTCAGGAGAGGCTATGTAAGACGCCCGGTCATATGGGAGCATTTCAAGAGGTGTGTGGAGGGGTGGCCAACCCGCAGCGCAAAGCACCCACCCCCTACCATCCTGAGGCTTTGGAGGCCACGCGATCTCCTCCATGTCATCCTTGCACAGACGACCTACTCGACGCTTCCCATTGGGATTCCACCCGAGCAATGGCCTGTCATTCGATAGCCTCCTCAACGTATGCCCAATCCACCTCCGTGTTTTGTTTGTTGAGCGACCTGCTCTTGGTTGGTTTGTTCCCAGCCAGAGTTTCCTTTTGGTAGTTGTTTCAGGCCGGCCGGCTGGCCATTTGATCTTCACTATGGAGCCAGTGAAGAGGCAGCTGTTGATAAGAGTCTGCAGTGACCTATTGGAAATCCTTTTTGTGATTGACACGCAGTACAAGTTTCTGACATATACAGAAGCAGTGATTGACTTCACATTGGTGTTGAAAATCCGAATCTTGTTCCTTATGCTGAGGTGGAGTGCGGTGCAGAAGATTTCGGAACTGGTTTCAGGTTGATAAAGGCTTGCGTATCTTGCCTTTTCGACATTTACTGACACTAATTTGAATGAAATACTAAGCTGCATCATCCTGGAGAGAATCAGACACGCCGACCTGGATGAAAAACTTCGACCGGAACAGGCTGGATTCAGGAGAAACAAGTCATGCATTGATCAGATCGCAACACTACGGATCATCATTTAACAAAGTTTGGAATGGCAGTCACCTCTCTATCTCAAGTTCATTGACTTTGGAAAGGCCTTCAACAGGCAGCGTCGATCGAGAGGTGATTTGGCAACTACTTCCCTACAACGGGGTGCCACTGACAATTATACATCTCATCCAACAGTTGTACGACAATACTGCATGCCAAGTAATCCACAACGGGAAACTCACGGAATCCTTCGAAGTGAAGACGGGAGTAAGACAAGGCTGGCTGTCTGCTATCTCCAGTGATTTTCCTGATCGAGGGCGGTAGACTGGATAATGTGACAGACAGAGAGCGGACAGCGAGGAAACAGGCATAAAATGGACCCACACAAAATCAACTTATGGATCTGGATTTCGCCGACGTATACGTCTGATTTCCCACAAATTGGATGATATGCATCGTTTCAAATACAGGCGGAACTGACGAGGATATCAAAGCAAGGATCGTGAAAGCAAGGCAAGCTTCCATCTCTCTCAAGTCTGCATGGAGGTCAACAACACAGCATGAAAAATAAGATCCGGATTTTCAAACCCAATGTGAAGTTAGTGTTAGTTACTGTACGAATCAAACTACACACTTTCATCAACAGCTCTGTCTTCGATCAATACTGCTCAAGATCAGATAGCCAGAAAAGATCTGCAACAGGTATCTCTTGGAGTGAAGGAACCAACCAAGAACCAATTGTGCAAGAAATATTCAGGAAGAAATGGAGGTGGATTGGTCATACTCTGAGAAAACCATCATGTGACCTCACACGCTTTACCATCGCTCGAGTGGTCGTCAGTGTGAGAGTGACTTGAGGGAGTTCATGCGTAGAGGAGATGAAAGCATGTGGGCAGACGTAGAGCCAGGTGAAAACGTTGGTAGAGAACCGAACGCAATGGAGACGTGCGGCTGAAGCCCTATGTTCCTCTAGGAATTAAAGGACACAATAATAATCATTTGATTGAGAAAATACAGAAATTTGAAACACAGAAAACACCAAAAGTAATGCCAGGGAATTTGTAGAAGCCTGATATTTAGATGAAATCATCCAACGATAAACAAACACACATTACTATAGATCAAATTTACAAACTAATAACGAGAAGAATAAATCACATGTCAAGAAAGTTCAAATTCCAAATGTGAATAAAAATAATCAATAAAGGTGTAAATTAACAAACAGCCAATCACAACAAAGGACGTTGATCAGCAGATACAATTGAATCGATATCCAGTTGCGGAGGTTTTCTCCAGTGAACAAGACAGACGATTTCTGAGTATTTCTGATGATGAGTCTTTCATTGAATTGTAGATTCCTGTCCCTAGAAGACTTTTCTGTCTGAATGTAAAATTCAATTGAGACTAGTTGGTAGTAATACTTCGAAATCGCCTATCCCGTTCATTGAAGAATATCTTCTTTGCAACGGAATTTCCACTTACTTTCTCTACAAAACCAATGGTAAAACTTTTGATGCCAAATATTAAACTGTAATGTTCAGTATGTGTTGACTTGTGACTGATCGGTGTAGGTGTTCAGTCCGTCTACTGGATCCATCTTCATTTTCTTCGGAATATTTGTTGAGCAGTAGATTCTTGGTTAGGGCTTGTTCCCAGAGCTTCTTGGTGTTAATTCTTTCTGGCCAGCCGGCTGGCCATTTGATTTTGATTCAGTATGGAGCCAGAGAAGGCAGTTGTTGATAAAAGTTTGCAATGACGCGCAGTGCAAGTTTCTGACTCATATAGAAGCAGTGACTGGCTGGCTGACTTGACATTTGTGTTGAAAATCCGAATCTTGTTGTTTATGCCGGCTGAGGCGGAGTGCAGAAGATTTCCAAACTGGTTTTAGAATGATGAAAGCCTATTTTGCCTTTCCGATTCTGGCTGACTGGTTTTGACATCTCCATCCGTTTCCCATTACCTGCAGTTGAAACCGTGCTTCCTGGGTGGATAAGTGAAGGCACAAAGTAACCTCTGTCAGATGTGTCCCGTTGGTAGTGATTAGTGCTGGTTGTTGTTCTTGCTGGTGTGTCGGAGTATCTTCATCACCTCCGTCTTCTCTATATTCATCAGGAGTTCTGTCTTCACCGGCTGCCTGCTTCTTCAGCCAGTTTGTTGGTTTTCACCTGTAAATCTTCGAGTTTGTGGGTGAATTAATGGCTGATTGATACGTTACTGTCCCACACTAGCCACCCGACTGGGAAGGGTAATCCTGCCAATCCTCTCCAATCATGAATTGACTTCAGTCAGAGAAGTATTGAAAACCCGTGCTCACTACTGGCTACCTACAGGATAAAATTATCTGAGGTTCTAGTGGGAAGTTGTGATCAACGAAGTCCATCATGTTGGGTGTAAGGACAGGTACTACTCACCGATGACACTTTGGCGGTCGACCTATATATATATATATATATGTATATCTCGAATTGGTAGGAGTTAAAATTCATGGGTTATTGAATTTCCACCAAAATGGTTAGACGGTCAACTAGCTTGTCTTGTAGCTTTGAAGATCCTGGGCTCGACTCCCGGTGGGGTCATGGGTGTTGCGCTGCCTACTGCTGAATAAGCCTCAAACGAGGATGAAAAACGACTGTCCAGCACTCCTCAGTAGTTTTCAATGGGTTTTTAGTTGAAATCAAGTCTGATGATTGAAGTGTATATGTGTAAAAGTTGGGCACTATGGTAGTAGGTAATTCCATATTAGTTTGTTTATTAGATGTATCACACAGTGAAACA